GGTATTTTTTTTTATCTTTTGTACTTGATACTTAATTCCCCTTTATTTTAGTATATTTTTATTTTCTATACACTGCATTTCCCAATTTCGAGAAAATCTTATTATGTTAGTGTATATTTTATATTAAATTCTAATACATATTTCTAAAAATTGTCATAATATTAACATCAAACTAATATAAAACACTAAATTATAATATAAATAATGTATAGGTTACACATCTATATATCAATATTGACATTAATATAGTTATTATGCTAGTGCATTTCCTGCAACATGGTGACTCTTTTTTAGATTTGCGGTTAAACTACTCCATATAATAAGTTATTTTACAAAATTTCGTTTAGAATTACAATATTTTAAACAGTCAAACTTTGTAGCACAGATGTTGCAGCGACATGCAGTCAGCAATTCTGAAGCACATTCCTTCATTTAATAAATTCTGTAGAACTTGAAGAGGTGCAATCATTCATCTGCAACAGTATGAAATGGTAGTTAATTGATTCAAGTCTACAAAATAATCAATTTAATTATTGCTTTTCACCTAATTACATACCTTATTTAAAAAAAACTGGTTTTCTTTGATTATATAGATTTCTCCCCATTTACTTACAAAACTTCTTTGAAATTCAATTCTCTACAATGATGGAACTCACAAACCATGTAAAAATGATGATTAGTTTTTACAGGTATAGATTTTTTGGAACTTTTATTGCCTGCCCATTTTTGTGAAATGTCTATGATAGAATCATAAATCAAATTAGTTTGAAAAACTTGTCATGACATGACCAATTTACAGTTTAATCTTCAATATTTGAAACAATAATAGAGAGATATTCTACACACAACCTAAATAATGTTTAAGTTAATTTTTATTATTGAATCTTTTTCATGTTTCGAGCAAACCATATTATACTAAATATCAAGCTAATTTAAAAGGTTAAAATTGTTCAAATAATTACTGGAAATATGTGCTTTGGGAATTATTATTAATACTTAATATTTACCACTTACCATGTAGAATTTGGCATATGTCTTGTACTTACTTTTATGTTATTTTCATCAATTTTTGTTGTAAATTTACTTTTCAGCAATCAGCAAAAGGTCATAAGTTCTAGTTCAACATTTAGTTCTTTTAAATATGAATAGAATGTAAAATTTTATCTTTGTTCAAATTCTATTTCTGTGAATCCATAGATTATGTTTTCTACTGCTTTTTACTTGTTTCACACCTGAAAACAGAAAGTATTAAAAATTGATAAGTTGTTCATACAATGTTCTTCCTTTGTAGTTAATTATAACTGTAAAGCTTATTCTTATAATTTAATAAGTTACAAAAACTTCAGAGGTTGGAAGTAACTGC